TTCAACAAAGAACTAATAACAACCTAATAACCCTAACCCTAAACCTAACCCTAAACCTAACCCTGAACCTAACCCTAAACCTAACCCTGAACCTAACCCTAAACCTAACCCTGAACCTAAACCTGAACCTAACCCTAACCCTTACCTTAACTTAAATCGCGCTTCTGTGGGCGCGGTTTTGTTGGCACGTTGTTGTGGGCGCGTTTATGACGTCACGGTTTTCTCGCCGCGGTTTTGTCGGCGTGCTTTTGTCGTGCACGCATATGTTGGGTCACGGTGATATTCAGAGGAATTCCAGTGGGCAGAGAGTCAACATGGTATTTATAACCTCATGATTGAAGCCTGTCCATTTTTACATATTTTGTGTGTGCGCTGTACATCAAAAGCAGGCTTCAACTGCATGAGCATCTTGATTTTTTGGCAAGTCTCTTACTGCAAATACCTTTGATGATCTCAAAATTAGACCCATGACCTCAAACACTCTAATATATTGATATATGCAACAACATTAAACCATTGCTAACTAATATGACTTTCAAGGCATGTAAATTATGGGCAGAGGAAGCTGAATGTTCTAATTGCTAAAGTAATTGCAGTCTTGACATATATTTTTTTTCTTTTCTTTTTTTGATGCAGGGGGTTTGACCTTATTACTCCTGCTCTTTCTCATTTGTACGTCACAGGAGCTCTGCTTATAAATCTCAGGAGTGAAATCAGCTTATTTCTCTTTACTGATGGGTAATCCTCCTCCTGTAATTATTGGGAGCAAAGCTAGTATTCTTGTTTTGATGGAATTAAGAATCCCCTTGCTTTAGGAATAAGTAAATGGGTCTCATTTAATTTTGTCATTTGCATTTCTCACATCCAATTATGTTTCAAAGAAAGACATTCCACTGCAGAAGGCTTGCTCAATCACCACTGCTTCACATGTGGAGACAGAAAAGTCTCTATTATCAACACTGAAACTATCAACACAGTATTTTCCTTGGATGGCCTTATTCTAAGGGGTTCACCGACAAAAGGGCGCCCGACAAAACCGCGGTGACAAAACCGCAAGTTCTAAACCACGCCGAGGAATGAGCGCTAAAGCGCACCGACAACAGCGCGCCAACAGAAGCACGCTCTAACCCTAACCCTAACCCTAACCCTAAGCCTGACCCTAATCCTTACCTTAATGTAAATCGCGCTTCTGTCGGCGCACTGTTGTCGGCGCGTTGATGATGTTGTGGTTTTCGCGCCGCGGTTTTGTCGGGCGCCCTTTTGTCGGTGAACCCCTTAGAATAAGGCCATCCAAGGAAAATGCTGTGTTGATAGTTTCAGTGTTGATAATAGAGACTTTTCTGCCTCCACATGTGAA